GTATCAGAGCTCTAGGCTACGCTTGGGCTATTTGGAGGAGTAGATCACTTTGAAAGTTTGTCTAGGGCTTCGTTTGGTGATAAAGGTGAGATTTTTTATTATTGGTGATCTTGTCTACCGTCGTGTGGGGGTGAGATCTTTTGGAGGCTCTTGTTGGAGTTTCAGTTGGAGGTAAAAATTTCTTTTTATCAGTTTGGATCTATTCTTCGATTGTTCCGCATTGGTTGTTGGTGCCTTGAGATAGATGACTGAGAAAGAAGGAGTTGTGGAGGGTTCTTCCGGTGTGAAGACCGTCCAAAGTTTGAATATCCACTCTAGGAATATAGACATGGAAAAGTTTAATGGCACTAACAATTTTGGACTTTGACGATGTGAAGTCTTGGATGCGCTCAACGCCCAAAATTTGGAAGATATGTTGGAGTCAGATGGAAAAACGGACGACATTGATGAGAGGGTTTGGAAGAAGATGAATATAACGGCGTATGGTGTGATTAGGTCTTGCCTCACTCAATATCTAAAATATGATGTGATGAATGAGACTTTGGCTAAGAAGATTTGGGAGGTCCTACAGAGCAAGTATTTGACGAAAAGTGTAGAAAATTACTTGCATTTAAAGAGGAGGCTTTATCGCTTTTAATTGAAGAAGGGGACCTCCATTAGTGATCACATGAATCACTACACGAAGCTTCTTACGAATTTGGCGAATGTAGATGTGATGATTGAAGATGAGGACAAGACGTTGTTGTTGTTGAGTTCCTTGCCTGACGAGGAATATGAGACCTTCATTCTTACTCTTATTAATAAAAAGACATCTCTTTCGTATAGTGAGGTCACCGCTACACTTGTGAATTATCAGCTTCAAAAGAATGATAAAGAGGCTTCAGTTGAGCCGGTAGCTGGGGCATTGGTCGCAAGAGCAAAGAGTCCAAACCGTGATAGGAGGTCGTAGTCTAGAGGGGACACATTCTGAAGTTCGTAGGAATCAGCGTGCCTTTTGTAAAAAGGATGAACATTGAAAAACTGAATGCCTAAAGTTAACAGATCAAGCCGAAAATAATAGAGGGAAAGCTATTCAATCTTCAGAGGTGAATGTTGCCAGGGCTAGGGTGACAATTCAGATTCAGATTCTTCGGGCTACTTGTTATCTGTACTACCATCCGTTTGTATTACCGACTCTACTAAGTGGATGTTGGATTCGGGTGCTTCTTACCACATTTGCCCTAGGAGGGATTGGTTCTCCATCTTTCAGAAATTGAAAAGAGGGGATGTCTTTCTCATGGGTAATGATCACGAATATCCTATTTGTGGTATTGGTACCGTTCGTATTCGGAAGAGTGACGGGGTGATTCGGGAGTTGGATGAAGTGAGGTTCGTTACTCAGTTGAAAAAGAACATCATTTTAATTGGAGCTTTGGAGATAACAGGCTATAGAGTGACCTTAGTGGATGCACGTTTGAAGGTCACATTGGGGGTCCATGATTGTGATGAAGGGCGTCAGAAAGAGCAATTTGTATTATTTGCTTGGGAGCATGGTGAGTGATAGAGAGCTGACGACTTCTTTGGGGACTAGACTGTGACGTTGTTTGATGCTAGGGTATTTGATTGGCTATGTCGTGCATAGATTGTTGAGGAGTACTTTGACCTGCAGATTGAAGTCCTTTGAGCACATTGGTATGAGCAAGAAGACCGAGGTGGAGTTTAGCATTTCTATCCATCGATCGAGGGGTCTTTTAGGTGGTGTTCATTCAGGCATTTGGGGGCCTTCCAAGGAGGCATCATTGGAAGGTAATCGATATATGGTTTCTGTAGTTGGTGATTATACTAGACATTTGTGGGTTGCAACTAGGTCCAATTGGTTTAAAGTCCTAGTAGTCAACAACAGATGAAGAAAGTGTATTGGTAGAAAGGTAATTTGTTGTTCTTTTCTGCGTTTGTACTAAGCTCATGGTAGTTTGAGACACTTCATTAGAGAGGAAACATTGGGGCGACGAGATGATCGATCGAGGGGTCTTTTAGGTGGTGTTCATTCAGGCATTTGGGGGCCTTCCAAGGAGGCATCATTGGAAGGTAATCGATATATGGTTTCTGTAGTTGGTGATTATACTAGACATTTGTGGGTTGCAACTAGGTCCAATTGGTTTAAAGTCCTAGTAGTCAACAACAGATGAAGAAAGTGTATTGGTAGAAAGGTAATTTGTTGTTCTTTTCTGCGTTTGTACTAAGCTCATGGTAGTTTGAGACACTTCATTAGAGAGGAAACATTGGGGCGACGAGATGAGATGACAGATTTGGTGAGCTGTTCCTTGCTGGAAGAGGATCGGCGTTTGATGCGGAGCATTGGCTTTGGTGTTCGGGCTTCGACATGTTTGGGTCATCTTCGTCATAGGTTGCTAACTACTATGTTTGGAGATTTTAGATCTGGTGGAGCTACTTCAGATTTTGGATTACATTGGATGTTTAGCTACTCAGCACTTGGTCACATCATGAATGTGAGATTTGATCCAATTGTACATTTGGGATTAGAGGCTCGTTTGGGAGACTCTGATTTTGTTCGCAGGAATGTCACTTTTGACTCTCGACATGTAGAGAGTGTTGATCAGATCATTAGGATATCATAGCGGGTGGAGAGTGATGCTACTCCACGTTGGGTGGAGATTACTCCACATACTATAAATCATACTGCATCATTTGGGATTCCAGCCAAGGTGACACAGGTTGGGGATCATTTGGATTTGGATGCAGATGATGAATTAGTTGATTCGAGTGCAGCTGGTAGACGTAGTTTGAATATGGCCATTAGTTCACCTCAGGTGGAGGTGTTTGGTTCGTTACAATTTGGGGCCATTTGGAGTTCTATCAGCCGCATATTTGTTGATGAAGAGTTGAGAACTCTTCTAGTTGATTGAGTGCCTTTAAAGGCCGTTAGGTGAACTACGTGAAGGCTTGATTTCTTAGGCGAGAGGATACGTAGACAGTCATTTATGATATAGCCGGTTTGGTGAGTAGATACCGACATTTGGAGAGTGATCGCATTCTCGTTTAGGTCTCGATTTGTTGTAGATTGAGTCCGTTATCGTGAATTGTTTCACTTCATATTGGACGTAACAAGTGGGACATTTGGTTTGGTTGGTATCAGCTCAGTTTTGGGAAAACTTTGTCGAGGTGGAGATTTGTAGATGAACGAACCTGTTGGAGGGGCGAGGGAGAGGTTAGAGCTCGGAGGTGGAGTCGGAGCTCGCCTGAGGCGAGGGGTCGCCTGATGGAGCTCGCCTGTGGGCGAGGGTTTGGACGGGCGAGGGAACTCGCCTGAAGGGCGAGGTCGGGAGTTAGAGGCGACGTCGATCTCGTCTGCTCGTGGTGGAAGCCAGCTGGCTTCCACTAGTTAGAATCTCGCCTGAAGGCAAGGTGCACGAGCTCGCCTGTTGCCGCGATGTTGCTTGTTTGCGTGGGAGCCAACTGTGGACAGCAGGAAGAGAAATCTCGCCTGAAATTACCCTAGGGTTTCCCTATAAAAGGAAAACGCTGTTCTCGTGAGCTGATGAGCGGCGGAACAGCTTGAAACCCCTTGAGCGGCGACAGAGAGATTGAGCGGAGCAAAAAAAAAAAAAGAAGAGAA